TTTGATTGCGATCTATGATTTTTGATTTGAATTCTGTGTGTGGTTCCAAAAGATTATTTTCACCATAGCAACACAAATTAATCTCCTCATTCAATTATGTCATATCACGAAAAAACAAATCAACAGACAATGATCAAAATTCTTCAAGTAGTTTCACATATTCAGACAATGATGCCGAACCAAAAACAAAGTGACAATGAAGCTACAAGAAAACACATCAATTATTGGCCAACAGATTGTGTGAGTGCCGATAATTTACAAAAAAATTGACGGCGGTAAAAAGTGATAATGATTCCCATTAAATTCTAACAGCAAACTTTCACTGAAAGATGATACGCCAATGGAAAGAAGAAAGGACTATGGCGCTTAAATACATCACGCGGGAAAAACCTTAGCGTTATGGATGCACATAAGTGACATTATTGATTCATTTAATTTATTAAAATAAAGTAGCCTTATTAACAATTTTTAATTATAACTCTAATATCCTCAGTATTCTTCTATTTTTATGTGCCGTGTCCATTCAGGATGCAGGCGGTCATAACCCTCCATATCTTTCTCTTCCTTGTAGCTTTTAATAAGTTTTGCCTTTTTGTTATTCCTCCCAAACTACTACCCATTTACTCAAGCCCACCAAGTATGTTACACACTGCTTTCCTCTAAACGTCTTTCCTTCTATCCGCCTTGTGAGTATCAGATTTTCCAAGCCCTCGTTCCTTATTACGTGCCCCAGAAATTTCAACTCTTCCTCTTTTGTAACTTAATTCTTCTGATGAGAATTGAGTTACTAAGGGGAATTAACTGAAAAGCTGAGATATCCAGAAAAGACATAGCACGTGGAACTAGAACAATCTACCCACATCCAGCGGAAGAATAAAGGGTTCAGTTTGAAATACCCACGTATATCACCTGAAAAAAGGCCGAAGTATACAACGGCCGAAACGTCGTGAATATGACAATAAAGATGAGGACAACAGTCCGAACAATGTGAATAGTGTAAATATTAAACTTAGCCTACAACTACAATGTCCTTTGATATTTGTTCTGTGGGAAATTTAGCGATCCCCCTCCCAAATCCGGGCGTGGGTTGATGAACAAAGATAAGACGATTAAACAGTTTAAAAACATACTTTATAAAATAAATACATTGCACAACGAGAAGAGAATAGAGGATTGCAAAAAACGTATTCTTTTGGCATTTAAAAGATAAGATATATGGGATGATATCCAAAACATGTGTCTGTTTGAAATAGATGAAACACTTATCTGTACTGTGGTGTCTTCTACCGACAGCTGTTTTGTCTTTGCAGCATTCAGATAAGCTCGGAGCTAGCATCGCCTGTTCTTGGAGTAGGCTCATAACCTGTCTCTCCCGTTCGTTGTTGCCTCGGCATCTGCAAATTGATGCCTAAATTCTATTTCGCGCCTAATTTTGCGCCATACCCATTATTATCAGATGAATTAGTCCAACCTACAATCAGCAGGAGTTATCTACCAAAGGGAGATAACCTATATTTTTTTTATAGTACTTCCATTTCTACATCTTTGGCTCGACACCTTATTTGATCTGCATCGATTAGTATACAACTCATTTGTTTCCCTATTATGCCTTTTTTTATTATTTTATCTTGGCATTAGAAAATTTCCCTGTTCTGAACTTGGCTCCTTTAATTCTTTTCTACCACATTCTTTCATTGATTTTTTTTTGGTGGGGGGGTATCGGTTTCACCCCATGCAAGGCAGAGAAGCCACTAAAACACAAGGGGTTACTGGGCGTGAGAGAACTAGGAACAGAAACATTAATAATGAGCGAGAAGAGAAAAAAGTAATCAGGAGTTTATATAAAGTAACATTTTTATTCCGTCTGAAGATGACGATAGATGCGGTAGCAATTTGCCAATCAAAATATTGAACCGTGAAATTAAAAAAAAGTGCACTAAATCAATAAAGCTGTACAAATGTTCATTGATCTACACATACAATTTACTCTTGACTGGGTCAATAAGCTTGATGGAGTCGCTAAAAAAAAAATAACAGAAAATATCAAAAAAGATAACGAAATGGAAAATACGGAAAATCGATCAGTAGAGAAAATTTTCCTTCAGTTCAGAAATTCGGCTGAGCTGATCGAAAAGTGTTCACAGGACTTGTTTTGTTTTTGTTTGTTTGGCTTTTTGGGGGTATTTTTTCATCAGCTGTTTACACAACAAATCATAAAATTAGGCCAATTTTTAGCCTCAGTCAATAACGATTGTTATTGATTTTCTTCTTACTGTATGTATGTTTCAATTCTGCCTTAATTTTGCGTTTTTTGGCTACAAGCTCTACTTTTCAATGAATTAAGACTGGTCTAGAATTTGTTTAAAATTGTTACGGACACTCGTTTCTATGTTCAAATGAACAATCTAAATACATCCACATTCGGAACGAGACACAAGATCTGAGGTAAAAGAAAAGAAACAAATGTATATATTCAAACAATTGAAATACAAAAACATTAAAAGAAAACAAGAGTGAACAAAGTGAATGAATTAAAATTCGTGAAAGGAAAGATACTAACGAAGTAAAAGTCTTTCTAATTGTTGGTTTTATAATTACTGTGCATAAAGTGCTAGGTGTTAAAGATGTAGTAAGCGAATAAATGCAGATAAGAAGGAAGAGGCAATGTCCCAACTAAATGAATTTAAGCGTGCTACTAGGCTGGCATCTCCGTCCCACCCTTTCACTGTCGACAGTTGAATGTAACCGCATCTTTTACTCCATAGCTTCTTCTCTTGCACTTCCCGACAGTGGAACTCCCTTCCTCTTACTTGCTTCCCTGATAACTATACGCTTCAAAAATTTTAATGTAATGTCAATCGACATCTTCTGATGCCTTGATCCCCGTTCTTCTTTTTATCCTTCTCCATTCTTCTTCACACACACACACACACACACACACACACACACACACACACACACACATATATATATATATATATATATATATATATATATACATATATGAAGAAGTATAGTTTTAAGATGTGCTATATTTATGGGATAAAGTGCTCAGTATCAGAGATAGAGCGTATGTAAATATAAATATAAAAGTGAACATTGAAATCAACACTCAGAGGCGACAGGCTGTTTCATGCTACATGCAATCGTCAGGCCGCGGGTGTGAGATATTTTCTCGACTATTTATATATATGGGTTAGTGTTGCATTGTGGTTAATCCATTCTGACGGTTATTTTGGCGGGAGTGGCTTTATTTATTTATTTGGGTTAATTTATTTTACTTGTTTTTTATTTTCATTTTTTATTTTATATATTTATTTATTCTTTTGGTTTTTCGATGTTTTATTAACGTAGTAAAACATTGCTTAGGTCGATTATTTAATAATTTGTTTTGGTCTAGGAAGATAATTAAAGCTATTTATTCGTCCAATTATTGGATTGATTGTCGTAGTCTATTCTGTTATTTTGGCAGGGGACAGTTTTTAATTTGTTTATTATTTTATTTACTTATTTATTTATTTGAATTGATTATTTTTACTTTTCTGCACTTTTTAACGATGAAATTAATGTCTGCCAGAAGTTCTACTAAAGAAAATGCGCATCCGACAAAAATCGTAGCACTTTTGAGTCAAGTATGCCTTACCGATTAGGCTACGGGAAACCATCATTAGTAAAGTAATAGTTTATAGTAATAAGAAATAGTGTCGGATTTTTTTAAAATTCCATGAATTGCTTAAAATTATTTATTTACGTTTCGGGAATGAAAAGTTAGCCATTATAGACACCGGAATGTCCCAATGAGTGATATTCAATTCTTAAATAGGCAAACTGAAAATTGCTTTTCTATGCTGGTTTCCCGTGGCCCAAAAAATTAGCTTAAATGTGATTTCTTTGATAAGTAAAAAAGGAATAACGTTTCGATTCCAGTTGGAAGGTACATTTTCTTATTAATGTCTAGGCCGGTAGACATTAATTTCGCTTTTATTTTAGGGATGTTTGCTAAAACAATAAATATAACGTTTATTCATTTTAATATCCAAGTTCGTAAGATAATTTCGAATGTTTTTGTAATTTTCACACGAGATAGCTCGTTTTATTATGCCTGTTTAAACATTTTTTTACGATATTTTCTTTGTGGTTAACCTTTGTGCTCTTTGGCTTTTTGCCAGTTGTATATTTCGTCCCCTTGAAGCATTAATTTGATCTATACTGGGGTTGAAACTCGTTTCGGAAATTCCGCTCTAAATATCGTTGGCCGTTAAATCACTTGCACCCTAACCCCATTTCTACTCCCCATTTGCTTTAAATCATGGAGTGTTCAGTCATTTGCTGATCCATATTATGATACAGAAAATGATCCGGAACATAATCCTGATTATGATCAAAATTATAATTCAAAAAATGATCTTGAACATAATCCTGATTATGACAAAAATTATGATCCAAAAAATGATCTTGAACATAATCCTGATTATGACAAAAATTATGACCCAAAAAAGGTTCTTAACATAATCCTGATTATGATCGAAATTATGATCCTTAATATGTTATTGAATATGGTTCAGATAATGTTTCTGGTTGTGTTTCAGATTACGATGAAAATTTCGAATCATATAATAACCTCCATTATTTTCCAGATACTGATCCAGGCAAAGATCCTGAATTCGATCCAGAATTATGATTCACATTAGACATGCTTATCCAATTGACTCTAATAATTATTGATTTTATATTACGGCTTATAATTGATGAAGGTTATTGGGTTCAAAACTCTCCTCCCATTTTCCTTTTCATCCTCCCACGTGGGGTGGAGGTGGTGCGCTATCGATCAAAATAATTAGGACGGGGATAGTTTAAAAGACGACTCATCGAATTTACAAGTGGGAATTACGAAGACAAGAACCTGCAAGTTGGATCCAGTCGAGAAGCAATCATTCTGCAAACCTGTAATTCATGACTTTGCACATATTACACGAAAATCCAGGTGAGGAAAAGCAGTCTCACTCGCCAGACCCCCGCCCCAGCATCCGCAATAATGAAAAACGTCGCAGCGAGTCGCTGTAGAGTTGAACGATTATCACACTGTCAGGTGAAATAAATAGGAATATTTGTGATGGCACCACCAGGGAGAATCGATTGAAAGAAAGAAAGAGGAAACAGAAAAGAAAGAAAGAAAGAAAGAAAGAAAGAAAGAAAGAAAGAAAGAAAGAAAGAAAGAAAGAGGATACAGAAAAGAAAGAAAGAAAGAAAGAAAGAAAGAAGAGAATACAGAAAAGAAAGAAAGCAAGAAAGAAGGGGATAAAGAAAGAAAGAAAGAAAGAAAGAAAGAAAGAAAGAACAGTATGCAGAAAAGAAAGAAAGAGGAGAAAGAAAAAAGAAAGAAAGACGAATAAAGAAGATGCAGAAAAGAAAGAAAGAGGAGAAAGAAAAAAGAAAGAAAGACGAATAAAGAAGATGCAGAAAAGAAGGACTGAAAGAAAAAAGAAAACGAAAGAAAGAAAAAGAGGATACAGAAAAGACAAATAGAAAGAAAGAAAAAAGAAAAGAAAGAAATAATCACCCAAAGAAAAAAAAGTGAAACAAGTGAACGAACAAACAAAAAGAAAAGGAGAAAGAAGAGAAGAAAGAAAAGAAACAGTGAAAGGAAAGAATGGCGTCAACAAAAAAAAAAACGGTGGTAATGAGAAGGATAAAAAAAGAAAGAAAATACAAATCAGTATTGCGTAGAAATCGATGAATAACAACTGCGTAGTTTCTCTTGCGCGTGTGTATGCGTGCATGCGTGTCCTCGTGATGGTGGTGTAGATGGTAGATGGGGAGTGTTCCTGATGAAAGTAAGGGAAAGAAGATAAAGTCACAGGAGGACCAACAAAGCCTTTTACTCTTCACACGGCACTTTTCAAACTGAAAAGGGAATGCACGAGTGAAACAGAAATTTTCAATGGCTACCATTTAAGAATCTTCTCGAATTATCAATATCTCGAAAAAGCTAAGCGAATATTTCACACGCAAAAGTTACAAAATCCGATAGAAACTCATTTTAATGTGAAAATTCTAGTGAACCGATAGGACTCAAAAAAGTAACAAAAGGTTGAAGCAGAGAAGCGATTGTAAAAAGAAAAAAAGCATAGAAACAAGCAGAGCAACCATTTTGTTTTTTACAATTCAACATTATATCATGAACATACAGTAATCAAATAGGCATAAAAAGTTCTAATCTCCCAACTTCAAGTTTCGAAAAAATTAACGTCCATCGTTATTTTCTGTTTTCCTGAACCCTGTTCCTTTATTGCCCTCTTTCCACACTAAAGTCTTCTCATTCTCTTTCACTCCCAGAAACCTCTTGAGTCTTAGTGACATTATCGCCATCTTCTTTCCTGAAACCTGTTCTTTTATAGTCCTTTCTCCTCACTAAAGTCTTCTCATTCTCTTTCACTCCCAGTAACCCCTTGCGTCTTCGTGGCATTATCGCCATCTTCTGTCTTCCTGAAACCTGTTCTTTTATTGTCCTTTCTCCTCACTAAAGTATTCTCATTCTCTTTCATACCCAGTAACCCCTTGCATCTTAGTAGCATTATCGCCATCTTCTCTCTTCCTGAAACTTGTTCTTTTATTGTCCTTTCTCCTCATTAATGTTTTCTCATTCTCTACCACTCCCACTAACAACTTATATCTTAGTGGAATTAAATTCTTGCCTGGTTATTTAAATATATGTATATTTTTTACAGTCTGGTTGTACAATGTTCGAGAGCTACTCAATATGTATAGTTACAGAGCAAGAGGCACAGTTTATCCGAATATGTGAGGAAGATAACTTTTAGCACTAGAAAATGTCAAGATTGTAGTGATCGGAAAAGCATCCTTTTGGGAGTTGGTTCCACAAAGCAGTGGCTCGCTGGAATAGGCTGCTCGAGTGGAACTTACTTCTGATAAATGTACAATCCAAGATACAATCCAAAAATTCTTTTACAAACTACGAGGACATGTTCGTAACACCAAAACAAGGTAAAATGTCCATATAAATATATGTTCAAAAGGGCATCGTTGTACCTCAACACAGCAACTCATAACAAAAGTTCAAAATGTTGCCCGCTTGCTTCCACACACACATGCCCCCGTCGGACTGGCGGACCCTTTCAAATACTCCCATATGGTGTCGAATGGTTTCGCAGGCCCCCATGACATGCTGATGAAATGTTATTAATGTTTGCTGCAAAAACCAATTGTTTTAGGTGGTCCCACATATAAAAATAGAAAAGGTTGAGGTCAGGGGAATGGGCAGGCCATGGAAACGGTCCTCCCCTACCTATCCATCTTTCATGGTAGATGTCAGCCAGTGCATCGCGAACAATGTGACCACCATGACGCAATTCACTCCGCCGGAAATTTGGAATCGACATGCTGTATTGCTTGACATTCACGCCGGAAGCTCCAATACGAACATTTCAGAGTGTTTGGGTGTCAATCTGAGGACAGCGCAATAGAAAGAGTTAGATGAGTGTAATGGTGATTACGAAGATACAGCAGCTCGGAAAATTCACTTTGATCGTTCTGATAAAAGAACTCTCAAGTTTGTTGGTGTTGACCTCAGACTCAACACAGAGACCTACATCAAGTGCCTTGAGGGGGTAATGCTGCCCTGGGTCAAGAGGGTGGTTGCTGAAAGACCCTATATCTGGCAACAGGACTGTGCACCATGCCACACAGGCTGGAGAACCCAGTCATGGCTCTCAGCCAATTTATGCGACCATATCACTTCTTATATCTTTCCACCTAACTCCCCAGATTGCAACCCTCTTTGTTATTATGTGTGGGGCGCAGTTGAGTGAGTGGCCAACAAAACTCCTTGTAACACCAAAGATGAACTGAAGGCAAGGATTATGACAGCATTGACCAACTTAAACAAGGAGACCGCCCAGAAGAGTTGCAAGAGATTTCGAAGTCGTCTGGAGGCCGTGTTTGAAGCCAATGGCGATTTTATTGAATAAATTTATTCTTTTATATTTCGATATATTTTTGTGTGATTTTCGTAAAAATATCTGTTAAAATGAGATGTCAGTGTTACTTTCATTTTTACATAATTTAAACGACAATTTATCCATCGCACCCTGTATTGTGATGGAATTTTTTTTCCCAAACACGATCAGCACGTTGTGGCGGTGTTCATAGTTGATATTATTGAGTACTGGCTTTTTCTTTTTCATTATTAATGCTTCCATTATTTTTAGCCTTTTTTGTACACGTGGATGAGTCTATTATAGCCTATTTTCTACGAGTACGTTGCGGATAGAGTTTGGTAGGTTTCCGTGTTTGTTTCAATCTATCAGAAGGTGGAAAAGATATCCGTGTCATAGACTTACCTAAATTCTTTCTTAAAATATAAAAAATTATATATAGTTTTTCCATTATTCAGTTATATAAAACCACATGAAAACGTCACCTTGTTGAAATCTAGTTTATTTCAATTCACCTCTACTAATAACGACGACCTGCCATTTAAATATGTAAATGTTAGTTTCCGCTTATTCTGGAGCGAAGAGAGAAACATTGCACAGTGGATAAAGGCATTGGTTAAATCCAATGACAGGACCCAAAGAGTGCAAGTTCAATACCCGGTTAAGGCAGTGGAGAACTTGTAGAGGGGAATTAACGGGAGATAAATGATAAATGACATCCATTAAACATGGCACGTGGAACTAGAACAGTCTACCCCAGTGAGCGAAATAAAAGGTTCAGTTCGACATTCCAGCCACCTGAAGAAGGCCGGAGCGTACAACGGCCGAAACGTTGTAATAAATATGGCAACAAAGATGAGGACAATAGTCCGAATAATGTAAATAGTGTACATGATACCTCATCTCAGAGATATAGACAGATGCTGAAAGGCCGAAACGTTGTAATAAATATGGCAACAAAGATGAGGACAATAGTCCGAATAATGTAAATAGTGTACATGATACCTCATCTCAGAGATATAGACAGATGCTGAAAGGCCGAAACGTTGTAATAAATATGGCAACAAAGATGAGGACAATAGTCCGAATAATGTAAATAGTGTACATGATACCTCATCTCAGAAATATAGACAGATGCTGAAAGGCTGAAACGTTGTACTAAATATGGCAACAAAGATGAGGACAATAATCCGAATAATGTAAATAGTGTACATAATACCTCATCTCAGAAATATAGACAGATGTTAACGGAAAATATACGAGGTCTGCCTGAAAAGTAACTGTACCTGAATCCCAAACAATTTATTTCAATTCCAAACAATAAACTACACGGTTTCCTCTTAAAAGTATTCCCCCTCGAGTCTAATCACTTTTCCATCCTTCTCTTCCACGATTCTATGCACTGCTGGAAGGATTCATCTTAGATGCCCCTCTGCTCTGTCGTTGCGGCCCTCTTGATGGACTCCACGCCTTCAAAATGAGCTTGGGGAAAAGGAAAAGAGTGACATGGGGCAAGATCAGATGAATAGGGAGGTTGTTCCAGTACAGCAATGTTCTTTTCAGACAGGAACTACCGGTTGCTCATGCCGTTGTGTGCAGATGCAATGTCATGGTGAAGCAGCCACGATTTGTCTTGCCACAGCTCTCGTCGCTTCTCGCGCACTAAGTAAAGCAAACACCGTAGGATCTCTTTGTAGACTTACTGAAATCCTATCAGTGATTTCGAATTGATTCACTAAAAGATTTGCTTTGCGATTACGTTGCTACAGTAAAGACCTTACGTATTATTTAGTTAAACACACACCAACCAGGTACATACCTGAACAACCACTGGTTTAGCTGAGTCATCAATTATTTACCTGGAAAATCACGTACATATTTAAACAACCACGTACACACCGGTATGAGAAGCCGTTTTCCTGGGTAACCATTTATTTACCTGAACAACCATGTCTTTACCTGAAAAATCAAGTATCACGGGCATACACGAAAAAACACCCGTTTACCTGGGTAACCATGTATTTACCTGGGTAACCATGTATTTACCTGAAAAAAATCACCTAAAGAATCAAGTATTTATCTGAACAACTACGTACATACTTGAATAAATACGCTTTTACCTGAGTAATCATATATTTACCTGAACAACCAAAGTATTTCTCTGAACAATCAATTATTTACCTAAACAACCATACATCTACCTAAGATAACCATGTTTGTACTTGTGTAACCCACACCCCTATCAACTGATCCACACACACACACACACACACACACACAGTATTTACTTCTGGTTCTGTTAGGCCCTCTTCTTCCTAAGTCACTAGTCGTTAGCTCCGTTAGTTTTGTTGATTAATACTGACCTTGTGGGTCATCCGACTTACTTTTTCCCAAAGTCTTACGATGTTGGGATTGACGACGAAATCTAGTGTGCATACCTCTATATGCGTTGTGTAGCACAGAGAAGATTGTGTAATTCCTGTCTGTGGCCGTGGTAACCTTTGTCTTTTTCCGCCCAAAGACTACTTTGGGAATCAAGACTGGAATAAGAACTCCTTCAAATAAAATGCACAATACTGTTGGTAACTCTAACAACAGGTTTATTGAATATAAAGAAAAACCGGTTGAATAAAATGTCTCTATTATCTACGGCACATTCACGTTCGCTACTGCAGTTAGGGAAATATAGTCACAAACGCTTAATAACCAGTTCGTCGATTCTCACTAAATTCTTCTGTTATGAGTGTGTCTGTCTTTGCTCCGGCCACGGGAATTGCGGGTGTGCTTTTAGCAATGACTGTCTTACGAGCAATCATTGGCTGCTC